GGGGGCAAAGTGGGCACCTGGGGGTGCGGGGACAGAGCCCTGCCGTGGGGCAGAGAGGGGAGAGATCAGGGAGCGTGTGGAGGCAGGGAGTGGGGCAGCCCCTGCTCTCCTAAACCTGTGGGGCTGGGGGTGCTGTGGGTGCTCCCCTGCTGCTGTTGGACATCCCCAGAGCAGCCGGGAGCACGGGACGTGGCCGGGGCGTGCAGGAGAGACCCACAAATGGTCTCTGGTGCCACGGGAAGCCGGGTCCCAGCGCTGGGCCCTTCCACACCACACCAACTTCATTTAATATTTGGCATTTAGTTTCAGCTACTTGACAGCCTGCTAACAAATTAGCGCGGCATGGTATCAATAGCTCCAGACTGCGTAGATTAAAATCTGTTTAACTGATAGATCCCAAGAAAAAAAAAGAAAAAAAGAAAAAAAAAAGTGAGTGAGGCCAGGTGGTCAGGGGGGAGCTCCCTGCGACCTGGAGCTTTTTTGGGGCTTCAGAGCAGAGCACGGCATGGCCGGGTCCTGGCCAGCATCCCTGGGGGGCCCAGCACCTGCAGGGCAATGGCAGCGGGTGGGCACAGCACAGCCCGGCCCCCTGCAGCCACGGGTGAATGAGCGGCTCCCCGGGTCCCTCGGCTGCCCGGCTATCGACTGGGGTCTGCAGGGAGCACTTTGATTTCCTGCTGCTAAATCCCAGCCCCACTAATGTGATTGCGAGCAGCACGCGGCCCCTAATGGGGAGAGCACGCTGCAGCCTGCCTGGGACAAATTGCAAATCTCATTACGGCGTCGTGTCCAGATTTTTAACATGGTAATAGCTCCCCAGCTCAATTACGTGGCTGCTGTGCTCCCGATGGTCCCCAGGAAGGGGCCAAGCAGCTGCACCCCGTGTCCTGCCGGGGCGAGGGGATGTGGCTGGGCTGGGGACATCCCGGGGTGCAGCGGTCCCATGGTGCCACCAGCCGTGCATGGCCCCGGCGGTATTTCTGGAGGCCACACCGAGTGCTGGCACTGCCGGGCTGCTCATGGCCGGACACGCACGGCTGCTCCTCGTGGCATTGACTTAGAAAAAGAGGGGGAAAAAATAGATAACTAATTTAAAACACGAATTCCTTTGCACCTGTTCAGTGCTTTGCACTTTCAAAGCCCCGGCGCGCCCATTAACTAATGAACCACATCAAACATGCTCATATCTCACATCTCGCCAGGCTCTCCATTCACCTCCCAGCCCCTCCTGCGCCCTCGTCCCCGCTGTCCCCAGCCCCTGATGGGGCAGGGGGCTCTGCGTGGCCGTGGCCCTGCCTGGGGCGGGGGCTCCCCATGACTCACCCCGCCGTGGGCTCCTCTCCGTGCTGCTCCGTTGTGAATCAGCGGTGAGCGCTGTAGCGGGGGGACTGCGCCTGTCACCGCCGCTGTCATCACGCATTCATTTCCTCAGCATCTTTTGCAAGGTTTAGAGCACGTTGTGCAGTTAGGACCACGTAAGTACAGGGATCATTTTCCTTCTCCCACCTCCGAAAAGCAGCCGCCCCGGAGCGGGCTGCGGTGGTGTTTGGCAACACGCGGCGATGTTACTCAGCAGGGACGGGCTGGGGTGAGGGATCCCACCGCCGCCCCAAGGTGAGGGATGCATAACTTGAAATTACTCAGAGCAGGTGCTCTTAACTGTTCCTTGCAAAAGCAGAAACTGTGGGATGGGGCCTGGGATCAGGGCTCTGGGCCCTACTTGGCCATCCCAAAAGCAAGGGGTCGGTGTCACAGCCCTGCACGGGGACACGGGGGGACCCCAGCCTCCGCGGGCAGCACCGGTGGGACAGGCAGCAGGAGATGTGGGGGGGGTCATTCCAAACAAAGGGGTGTTTTCCGAGGTCTGAAATTAATAACACAAACCCTAATTTAAAATTATATTAGGCTATCAATTACTCCCTGAGCGTCCAAGAGCTTTGCTGGCAGCATCAAATTGCCAGCTGTGATAAATGGTTTTATTGGAATTTCATAAGGTCTGAGTTATTTGCAGATAGGAAATATCCGTGGATTAATTAAACTTTTGTAACGAGCTGGAGCAGTTAGCTGCAGCCCCCCCTCTGTGCTCACCCAGGACTGGGCCGGTGCTGTCCTGAACCAGGGGGCTCAGCAGAGTGGGGTCGGGCAGGGGTGGCCGTGCCAAATTGGTGGGGTTGGTTGGGGCAGGCAGAGCGGCTGGAAGACTGCAACGTGCGTGGCGTCAGCCAGCACAGCTTCCTTACAGGAGCATCCAGCCTCATTTGTTGTATTAGAGTTCTTCTAATACTCCAGTAAAGAGTGGGTAGAAGAAAAACCACTCGACATAGTTTATTCAGATTTTCAAAAGGCCTTTCGACAAGCTCCAGCACAGGAGGTTACTATAGAAATTAAGTTGTCGTGGAGTGAGAGGCAAAGTATTGCCACGGATCAAAGGCTCACGGAGAGCCAGAAAGCAGAGGAGGAATCAACGGGCAGTTGTCATCCCAGCACAGGGCAGCAGCGGGGCCGGCAGATTCCCCCGCAGGCCCCGTGCAACTCAGTGTACCCGTGGTCCCCGGGGGGCGATGCTGCAGGGGTGGCCCCGGGGGTCCCCATGGGTGAATGCAGACCCGTGGGGCACTCCTGGGGTAACGAGGGCAGGGGTGGGGAGCAGGGACGGGATGCTGGGGGTCAGGCCTTGTCCCCAGCCTCATCCCTGCCCCGTACCTGGCCCCACAGGTGTCTGCAGCCACCGCAGCGCTGGCGCCTGGATCCCCGCTCCCCCACCCCCAGAACCAGCCCGGCGGCTGAAGGGGCCCCACGGGGCAGCAGATAAGGGAGGGAATGCAAACACCCTCCTCGGCACAGGCATCCCAACTATCTGAGGCAGCAAGTGCCTCACCAGCAAATTCCTCCCCTCCGCTGCCTGAGTCAACTGTGGGGCCCCTGCCCTCGGCTGGGGACGTGGCCTCCCCTCACCATCCCACAGCTCTCCCAGGCCTCTGTTAATCCCACAGACACATTTACCTCCTTCCCTTCTTCCCTCCCATCATCCTGGGTGGCTCCTGGGGCACCCCATGCCCTGGGCGGATCGCGGTGACCACCCCTTGCTCCCTCAGCTTCCCATTCAACAAGCCCCCGCAGTGCAACAGTGTGGGTGTTCAAGGGGCAGCTGGGTACAAACTCCTCTCCCCACCCCAAAATGAGGACAGGCAGCACCCTGCTGCCCTGCTGATGTGGATGCTGAGGGCACCAGCCGTGGGCTCAGGATCCCACAGCCCACCCGGGTGGCGATGGCACCCGAGGGGGATGTGGGGCTGGGGTGGAGCCCGCAGCAGCTCAGGGGCTTGGTGCCAGCCAGGCAGGCTCACATCAGGGCTCCCACGCCTTCCGAAAATGCTGCATCCGCAGCGAGGGTCTCTGCCGGGGAACCTGTTGATATGGCAACCCCGTGCGGGGGGAGCGCCGCCCCCGCGTCCCCCCGGCATCCCCTCGGAGCCTGGAGCCCCCTGGAGCCCCCCCCCCAGAGTGGCTCTGGGACACAGCTGGGTCACAACACGGCTGGTGGCAGGGGTGGGTGAGATGCAGCAAAATGCCACACGCGGTGAAAAAACAACCCCGGCGTTTCCATGCGCTGCAAGGCTTTGCATTTCCATTCAGATACCAGACCTCTGCGTCCCCGCGGGTTCCTCGCTGAAGCGCTAGCGATGCTCAAAAAGGCAAACAGGAGGGGGATTTAAGGATGCTGAAAGGAAAAAAAAAAAAAGCAAAACACGCTTCGACAGTGTACACACAGCAAAGCCACAGCAGGAGCCATGCCCCCAGCCTGGGGGGCCGAGCATCGCTGGCACCACTACGACGAGGTCTGTGGTGAACACAAAGTGGCACCGACCCCACTGCAGAGCTTCAGCCCAGTGCTGGGAGGGCTCGAGGGGAGGCAGGAGCCCCCAGCACTGGGGAGCAGCCACTGCATTTGTAATACATCAGAGAAACAGCTGGCAGACGTCACCGCAGGCTGGAGCACAGGGCAGCACAGGGGCACCGCCAGCTTTGGGGAGGGTGCGTCTGCACCCCCTCGGGAGTGGCTGGTGGAGGCAGACTCCAGCTCTTTAAAATCAAATGGAGCTTAAAATGGATTCTTATTGCTGATGGGAGAAGTCTGATGGACAAAGTGCATTCCTCTGTGTTTCCAAGTGAACTTTTGCTCACTTTGACCTCGGTGCACGGGGACAGCAGGGTGGCCTCTTCAGAGGGCCCCCCGAGGCATGGTGCCTCCTGTGCCAGTCAGCATCGGTCACGCACTGCGTGTTGGTGGGTGCCAACGCCCCGTGTCACAGCCCAGACGCTGGGAAAAGGACGCAGAAGTGACCTTCACGAGCAGTGGCTCCTGCAGGCAGCATCAGCCAGCAGCACTGTGCCGGAGGGGGCTGCTGGGGGTGTCAGGTGTCCGCGCCGCTCCGGCAGTGCGCTGCCTGGCTCCACAGCCATCCATTATTGATAGGGTCGGTGCTGCTGAGGGGGGTGCAGCCGGGCTGACCCCATCCTTTGCAGCAAGCACCGTGAGAAGCAGATCATGCACTGGCGCTGAGCCCATGCCCCGCTCTGCAAAGCAGCACCGCAGATGTTGGAGCAGGGAATTGTGTCCCACGGTGTCCCAAGGCTGAGGATGGCACACCTTCACAGGAATGCCTCCCTTCTCCCCTGCAGGCTTTGTGCCATTTTATTTTATTTTATTTTATTTTATTTTATTTTATTTTATTTTATTCACTTTTCACCCTCTCTCCTCCTGGCTTTGCCATATGCAATAAAAAGTAAGTAAAGAACACTGAAAGAAAAGAAGGAAAAGGCTGGGTTCCCTCTGCTGGGCTCTCACTCGCAGCAGCCTGGGGCTGTGGCCACCTGCTCTGTGTGCCCTTGCTGCAGGTGGGCAGCCCAGCTGGTGCCTGTGTGTGTGTGGGCACCAGGTGCCACTCGGCGCCATGGTGGTGGGGACTCAAGCAAGGGACCCCCTTGGAGAGATATAAGAGGTGACTCGCACTGCAAAAACCTTCAAGTCACTGTTTGGGTGATTCTTGCAGTATTTTCCCCCAGCACGTTTCATGCAAGACTGTCTGGCTTTAATCTGTTCTTTGAGTAGCCAGGGAAAGAAGAAAAGAAGATTTCTGAATTTCAATCGGGGCACCCTTATCTCAGCCTCCCCCATCTGGCAGCTCCCCTCTCCCTGCCCTCCGGTCCCCCTCACGCAGTGATTTACATGGTAATGGGGCCTTTGGCTGGGGGTTGAATCAGGAATTGGTGCTATTGCCAGGCTGCAAGCTTGCCCTTGGGGCAGGGGGCTGGGGCTGGGGGTCTGTCCCTGCTTCCTGAGGAGGGCCAAGGAGTGGGGGGAGCCCTGGGCAAGGCACCACACCGTGCCCCACGTGTGTGCGGGTGGTGGGGATGGCACGAGCATCCCCACAGGAGCACTCGAGCTTGGCGCTCAGCACGGCTCCTTGCCTGCTCTTGCCAGATGGTGACTGGTGCAGAAAGGCAGAAATGTTTAGTAGATATTTCTGTTCTGTATTTGGAATGAAGCAGGAGGATATATTCATCTCCAGATGATACTGTGGATGGAATATAAATCCTGCCATCTGTAACAATGGGGGATGTGAGGCATGATCTCCTCGAATTCAGCATTTGCAGATCATCCGGACAGCTGATGCTCAAGAGTCTAGAAGGAACTAGCTCAAGCCAATGCTTTGGTTTATCACATCTTAGAAAAGTGGGCAAATTCCAAAAGATTGGTGAAATGTCAGTGTAGTTCCAGTATTTAGAAAAATTTAAAGGCGCAGCCCAGGAACCCACATATCAACCCTGCTGCTTATGTGTTTTTTTGGGTCCCTTTCTGGACAGAATTATAGGTCAGGCTGATGAAGGGAAGCGTACCAATAGAGCAAACTTGGATTTCCTCAGAACATTTTGCTTATTATCACATGCAAATTGGATTAAAAAACCCACACTACATAAGGAACTACCAGGCACACACTAGAAGGACTCACACCTGTCTCAGGCAGGCCTCACGGTGTGAAGGTTACTGAGGGATTTCAGGGTTTTGGTCCTGGGGTCCCTTGGGGAATCTACTCCTGCAGTAATGCTGTGCGTGCTTCTGTCTGGTGGTCACCATGAGCAGGAGGGGCTGTGGTGGTTGTGAAGGGGCTGTAGGGCCTGCAGGTGATGCAGAGGCTGGCAGGGATGTTAATAACGAGCAGGCCAGGCTGCAGCTCTAGTATCTCCTCAATTGCCTGGTGAAATGGCTGTAATCCAACTAAATGCATTTTCATACAGCTGCGTGCAAGGCACCTGGGAGGGAGGCATGCTGCCCTTATCTCCAGGACGGGGCTTGGGAAGCCGCGACGCAGAAGTCTCAGGAATGATTGCAGGTACCTGCCTCTACATGAGCTCGTTTCAACGGCACGCTGAAAAGCAGCTGACACCTTCCTGGAATATATAATGGGAGAATATCAAAGAAAAGTAGGGGAGCAATCTTGCCTCTATTCACTTTGCTGCTGAAAGCATTGCTACGGATGTTATTTCCAGCTCGGGTGTCCAGAATTAAGAAGGACACAGAAATCCTGCAAAGGAAGGCCATGCAGGCAGTCCAGGTATCAGAAAACAAGCTCCGGTACAAGACTGGGGGTGCACAAACAGCTCAGCTTGCAGGAGAGAAGACTGAGGCATGCCCTGATCTCAGTGAGAACAGTTCTTGACAGTTCAGCAGCCTCAGTCTTGCAGAAAAGTGCACGACAAGATCTGAAAGCCAAAGCAGAAGTTGGAAAAATTCAGCTTGGAAACAATACGGAAGATCCTAGCAGGAGATGCTGGAAGAACTGACTCCAGAAGGCAGCACGTTTATTGATTTCACAGCAAATTCACATATGGGAAATGTAATCCAGGTTCTGGGAGAGGCTCCTTAGCCCTGGTGTGCACAAGAGGCGCAGGTGACTCCCTCTGCACCCAGGGTGCTTCTGCCACCCCAGGGACACCAGGACTGCCCATGCTGGCCTCGAGATGTTCATGGCATTTCCACCTCTGCACTGCAGGGAAGTGACTCCTGCTGCTACCAGGCTGGGGGCTGTGACTGTGACACCTCAAGTCCCCTGCCAGGGTGCTGGGCAGCAGGGCACCCAGCCCGCACGGCAGCCGTGCAAGCATCCTCTGGACACATCTCACCAAGCATTTGTGTGAAAAAATGCCCTGGATCAAAAGCAATATTTTCTCCTTGTGCATTTTCTCATAATTTATTAATAAGAAATTACATCTATTCTGTTGAAATGAAGAAGTTTGGAAGTTTGGTGTGTTATTTCCCTGCCTCGTCTCCCATCTCTTCCCGTGACTTGTTCCTGCTCCGAAGCGGAGCAGACGGCTGGTGGGTGGGGGCTGCCTTCTGACTTTTCCCTTTCGATCTGGAATGGGGCCAAACTTCCTCAACTTTGGAAAAGTGACAAGAGGGAAAAAAAGAAGTACTAATTCTGGTGATCTGGAATGTCAGAATAAGAAAAACTGTGTGTTTTTATTGGTTTATTTTTTCTTCAAAGAAGCAAATGAGGGGAGCAAAAGGAAAATCCACGAATGATTAGATGGACAAAATGTGGATGGGCAAAAGAGAGGGAAAGATGGGCAAAAGAGGGTGGGTGGAAAGATCTCAGGCTCAGGTTTTGAAAAGTGAAACTAGCTGAGGAAAGCTTTCATTGGAACTAAGCAAAATGGGGACAAGACTGGGATTTTTGATGATTTTTTTTTTTTTTTTTTTTTTTTGGTCTCCTTATTGGGCACCAGCTAGAGCCTCTGTGGGGGCATGTCACTGGGGTGGTGCTGCTGCTTCTGTTTGGGAAACGCTTCGCTAGGGAGATCCAGGACCTGTTCAAGGCAGCCGTGGGTGAGAGGAAAGCCCGAGCAGCCTGAAGGAGGTGGCTCACCACAACAGGGCTCTGCACAAGGGTTTCTGGGTCTGCACGGGCAGGGAAATGAGCCTGTGATGAGAAGAGGAAACTTTGAGGAAGAATTAGAGAGGGAATAAGCAGAGTGTGTCAGAGCTGACTCTGAAAGCGAGGGAATAAGCAGGAGGAAGGAGAGGTTCTTGTGCGTGACGGCAGTTGTGATGTGGCTGGCAGAGCAGGGGCCTGGTGGGATGCTGTGCCACGGAAATACCGTCGGGGAACCGCGCGGAGGCACCGCGGGGAGGAGCGGCGTGCCAGCCGCCCCCGTGCAGGCGTGCCGGGGGGAGAAGCAAGCAGAGTCCTGGAGATGACAGCGAAGGAACGAGGTCGTCTGAGGCGAAGAGGGCCCTGGAGCAAAACCAGGGCTGATCCAAATGCCCGCTTGTGCCTGGGAATCGCAAGAACGTCACCAAAAGAGATGGGGAGTGAGGAGCAGTTGCAGGTGTTTTCCATTGCTCCTGGCTCTGCAGGTCCTGGGTCCACGTCCTCCAGTGCCACCGTGGCAGCCATGAAGAGCTTTCACGTGGGGATGAGGACCTGGTGCCCATCTCAGGGTGTGTGTGAGGTTCCACAGAGGCAGGAAAAAAACCTGAACAAGTTTAGAAGCAGAGCTCATTTCTATTCATCATTAATTGCCATGCAGATCAGTGGATGCACACGTGATGGGCTTAAACCTTAAAGCTCAAACGCAGGGTTTTTGAAAACTTAGTGACTCATTAATAACAGACAAGCTTGTATGTGGAATATCATTAGGTAAATGAGTTACGGAGCACCGGGAGGAGCTGCCATGACCTGTGCCTTGGCCAGAGGCCCCTGGGCTGCAGCTCGCCCTGGGCAGAGGGGTGGCCGAGCAGCTGCAGGTGCGCACAGGCTTCGAATCCCCCGCCACAGGACAGGCAGCTACTTACACTGTGTCGTTCCGAGCACAAAATGCTGAAAGATGGGGAAAAGCAAGTAGAAATGAGACATTTTCTGACAGGTGGAAGTCCCTATTTGCTAAGTTTTGTTGAAGGCGCAAGGCAAGAATCATGTATTTAGTCAAACATACCACAAATAAAGCAGAAAATAATTGTCTCTGTGGGCACGCTCCCATGCCACGGTGCCTCTTGCTAAGAGGGCTGCCTGTGCCCTGCGTATATCAGTGGGGTGAACCCTTCCAGGGGGGCAAATATGCTCAAACAGGCAGTGCAACTTCCATGGGCAAAAACTGAGAAACATGTGTGCATCCTCTAGAAGTCAGCAATACTGCCTAAACCCCATGGAACCCACCTGGAACGACACGTATATGGGGTTACTTGCCTTCAGGCGCTGAAGGCGACAGTTGCAACGTGATTTAATGCCTTTATCCAAAACCTTGTGGGATGTGAGCAGCGGGCGATGGGCGTTTGGGCAAGGGGCTGCCTCCTGCACTGGAGGGGAAGTGTCAAGCGGTCGCCTGGGGTTGGGAAAAGGCAAAAAAACATCTCCAAAATCACCACTCCAAGGCAACGCATGGTGCTACAGATGAGAGAATTAATCAGGAGCCTATAGAAAACACTGCTTCACATTTAGGATATAAAAAAGAATAATAACACACAACACCGTTTGTCTTTAAACAAACACCAGTTAATACATTCCCAACAATTATATCCAGATGCACCACTTGAGAATCTCTCCTAATTGTGAAATTAGAAATATTTTTACTGCAAATGCCAAGAGATGACATGTAGGGAGATATTCACCCAGCACCATTCCATGCTCTTTGCCACAGTTGAGTTCCACTTTCCTTTAAAGGTTGTCATTTACATTTAAAAAAAATAAAAAATAAATCAGCTGCCAAGTAGGCAAAGCATTCCCTGTAACAGACCCAGCCTGGGGGGGTTCTCAGCTTTCTGGTTGGGCTGGGGCTGGCTGGAAAGGGAACACGGCACTGAACTCAAACAAGGGGTTACTTTGAACTCTCCACAGGAAAAAATCCCACTTCTACGGGGTACAGTAAAAATGTGGCATAATACAGAAAATCTGGGAGTTATTGAAAGGATAAGGAATTTCAGATGGAGCTAATTCTATGTCTGTCATTGAAAAGCCAGCTTAAGGAGGGAGATGCTTTGGTTTACATTATTTAAATGCAGCTGCAACACGTGAGCACTGCTCTGTGAAAGCCCCGCATGACAGGCGCGTTCTCAGGAAAAGGAAGAAAAATCACTGTGAAATGAAGGGCATTTTCTTCAGTGAATAAACTGTGAAGAGACGAGCTTAAATCTAACTTCAACGAGATCTTTAATATGCTGTTTAGGTGTTTTAAGGGGATGAGAATGCCCTTTGATATTAGTCCTGCTCCTGAGATATTTCACACAGTAATTGCCTACGTCTTTAAGGTACGATGTATTGAAACTATGGTGACTGCTGTTTTAAATTGGGCAATGGCTTCGGGAAAGGAGAACGGGAGACCCAGGCAAGAGCTGCAGCGAGTGCAGCAGGCACTTCAGAATGAACTTTAAAAGGTCAAAATTTGGTCTAGCAGAATTACCTATACCAGCTCCGAGCTGAGCTAAGACGGCTTTGTTGCCAATTTAGATAAAACAGAAGCAATAATTAGAATGTCTAGCCTCCAGGATATAAAGCAGATCTACAGAGATTTATGAAAACAATATACTGTTTGGCAATATCCATTCCGAAATCTATGGCCGGCGTTTCCTCAGGAGAGCAGCGCTGCAGTCCGAAATTGCCTGGCATCGTGCAGGCAGACGAGCGAGCGCCGAGAGGGCAGAGCCGCGGTGACGGGGACGTTGCCAGCACGCCGGGGGACGCTGCCAGCAGGCCTGGGATGTCAGCCGGCACTGGGAGAGCTCGGCACAGCCAAATGCAAAATACCAAGGGTCTGGCACATCCACAGCTGGCTTTGCAGAGCCTGCCTAGCACAAGCCCTGTCCTGTCGCCTGCACCGCAGCAAAAGGGATTAAAGCAGGCGGTGGAGTATTCCTTCTTTAGGAAATCTGCAGTTGCTTAAGCCAAGAGAAAAAGCACTGCAGGGTGTCCTGGGGGAGCAGCCCTGCTCCAGGCTGGGTGGGAGCACGGGGTGCTCGGGCTGGTCCCTCTGTAACCACAGTCACCTGCAGCTGCTGCTGTCAGCACCTGAACCTGGCCTCCCACGCTCCACAGGTGAGCAGGATGCACAGAGGGCTTCACTTAAAAGACTCGACTTCGGGAGGTGCTAGGCACCAAGTCCTTCCTACAGCTAAATGAGTGTCTGAAACACTGCTGGAGTCCTGACACGCCTGTGCTGGAGGTGTAGGCCAGGTGCTCTGCTGTGGTTCTGTCCTGCTGCTCTGCACCTCGCAGAACCAAGCCCACAGCAACCAGCAGAAAAGAGCGAAGGCAGGAGGACAGCCCAAGCACCTAGCGAGGGCACGGAGGTGGCCAGGCCTTCACCCACACACCTCCACCATGCGATCCAGGGCCCGCAGTTTGGTGCCATGTCCTCAGTCTGTCCCTGCTTGGCTGCAAGCAGCCATCGGGCCCTGCTGTCACTTGTGGGCCGTGACCATGGGACACCCTGTGGGAGCACTGCGCTCAAAGCTCCTGGGCCCCAAGCCTGGCTTCCCACAAGCAACTCACAGGTAGACAAGGAATGCATGGTTAGAAATCAAAAAACCAAAAACCTGCATCAGAATTACAGGAGAGAGCTAAGATACGAGAAATAAGAAAACAGCCCATAAACGTGGGCAGAACCGTGACCTATTCATTTAATCTATCAAAAATACAAACACGCCGGATCCACATGAAGGTGAGCAGGTGACAAAGCGATGCATACCTGTAATATACAGTATATGCTTGAATTGTGCATTTTAAACATCCTCCATGGGGACAGCTTTGCTCTAGTCACGCCGCAGTGTTTGTGCATTAATATTTTTATTTAAAAACAGGAACAGAAGGGCAGAGGAATTGGTGAATAAATTCGAGTCCTGCAGCAACTGAAGGCTGAGCTGGGCCGACTCCAGGGTGGCTTGGGCTGGAGAGATCTATTCTAGCTTAGTTTCAGTAATGATAATGAAGAAATTGGGGATTCTTGTGCAGGAAGCAGAGGATTTATGAGAGAGCAGCTGGAGAGGCCAAGAGCAAAGGATAAACACGGAGATGGTAAAAGAGTATCTGACAAAACTCAACCCACATACTGTAAATCTGCAGGTCCAGACACAGCACGCTGGAGAATTTTAAAAGAAATCTCTGAAGACCATCTTGAAAAATAATCTTCCCTTCATCACGAGAGTTATCTGGGGCCTGGGAAAGGCCAAATGTGCATCCCATTACAGGAAAGATTGAGAAGATGGAGCAGTAGTCTGCCGCCCACCTCCCCGCAGCTCTGGCAGGCAAGTTTCAAACTGATTTTTTTTCTCATCCCTAGTCTCCTCCTTCCCTGCTTCTCCTTGTTACTGTCTCACCGAGCTGGCAGCCTCTGCCCAGGGCTCCACACAGCTGCGGGGAGCTCAGGGATCAGGAAGCCTGCTTGCAGCAGGCGCTTTTTTCCTGCATACACAAATATGCTTCAGATCTTCCAGTGTGTCAGGAGCAGGTATGTCTGCACTCCACCTTTGCTTTTGCACATGGACCCTTTATTTTCCAAAATAAGAAGGTAGCTTGGTGCAAGTGGGGAATGGGGAAATAATCCATAGCCTTTTTAAGTGCACTCCCCTGGAAATAAGAATTTCAATAACCTCCATTCTCAGGTACCCCGCTGAGCTGCTGTGCCTCTCGTTCCCTCTCTGGGAAGCAGATGCATCGCGCTCCCCAGCCCTTCCTTGTTTTGGGAAGGGAACAAGATGTGAGAGAGCTGCTGTGATCTGAGGAGCAGAAGCTGAGAGAGGTTTATATAGCACTGTAAAGCAGCATAAACTTTAGTGAGGATGGGGAAGCTTCTCTTTGCCCAGCTCCTTCCTGCACACAGCTCACACCAGGGATGCATCCCAAAGAGCTTGCAAGTGGAGCACACAAAAACTTGGTAATTAGGAAGACAATGCAGGATGCACCTTGAACCTTGCAAGCAGCTTGCATTTTTGGGATTTCTGAAGTAATCAGGGCTGCTTTGTAATCAGTGGCTGCAAGGCACCCAACTGCATGCTCCAGGCAACCCAAAGGGTTACTCTGCACCCTGTACAGGTGTGGATGCACTTTCTCTGAGCCACCCCACCTCCAGCTGTTAAAACAAATCCTCTTCCCTTCCTGAGAAGGCTGTCCCCCGTGTGCAGCCAGCTTCTCAGCTGCCTGTGTGGCTGCTCTCCTTGGAGGAGATCTTGTTGTCATGTTATAACAAAGTTTTCTTAACAACTGGATGAAAACTCTATAGTTACACGGAATTTGGTGTGGGCTAGGAATTGGTTGATGAGTCACAGTCTCAGATAGTAGCCAGAAAAATGGAACTTCAAAATTGGGAACAATTTTAGTGACATTACCACAGGAGACAGGACCGACACCTGTATTTAAGGTTTCATTAAACAGAGAAAGAATTAACACCATTCATACCAGCGTCACCAGTGGGCACCCGGCACAGACTGGGACGAATCCGAAGCAGCCTGGAAATATTTCAGCCATGGGCTGAATGCAGCAAGACACAGCAGCCTGTGACCTCGGAGAGAGAAAAGAAATAGCTCAGATATCTGGAAAGCAGTGAGATGGAGGCTAACAGGTGAGAGCCAAGCTAATACCACATAATCTTGCAGTTTAACAGCTCTGAGCAGAGCTGACGCCATTCAGCTGCAAAAGCTGGGAAGAGTGTTGGTCGTGTGGCTGCTGGCAGTGCTGCTGGTGTGTTCCCACTCCCTGTCCCTCACCCTGCTCTGTCCCCACCTGCCTGGGGTGCCAGCCGTGCCCCAGCCATGGGGACAGAGCCCTCTGGCTCAGGGCTTTTCCCTCCTGGAAGGGCCTGGGCGGCAGAGTGGTGGGCAGCACGGTGCCGTGCGTGTCTGTGGATAAAATACAAAAAATATCCCCCAAGGCTTTGGAGGAACAGAGGTATGCCATAGGAATGAGACCAGGATTAAAGCACATGCTGGTGAAAGACTGAAGGAACCAATGTTTTATAAATTAGCAATGTTGAGAGCCAGAGGAGATGCGGTCTCGGTCTATAAATACCTTCAAGGTAACAATATAAATGAAGGAAGGGAATTCATCCGGAGCCTTGGAAGATGGCCTCAGCAGAAGGACCTGCCTGCAGCCAAGGCAGGGAGGAGGAGGCTGGGTGCAGGAAGCCCCCAGCAGCCAGCGCTGGCAGCAGGGTGCTGGGCTCCAGGTGAGGCCATGAGGAGCTACCTGCGATGTGGTGCTGCCAGCCTGCTCCTTACACGCTGCTAGCTGCTGGCAGATGGAAGGCAGAGCAAAGTTTGGAGATCTGGTTTGTCTACAAGACAACACCGGGTGCTGCAACCTGGCCACGTTGCCACCTGTCCCCGCAGCCAGGCCACAGCGGCTCCCTGGAGGTTTGGGTCCCACCACCATGTCCATAAAACCAGAGTGTGTTCTGGTGAGTGCGTCCTCAAGGACAAATGCAGTATCTGGTGCTGCCACACAGTGGTGAAGAGGCAGTTCAGAAGGCAACATCTGCAACCGTGGAGGATCTTCAGAGCCTGAGACAACTCTGGGCTGACCCCAGGGGACAACCGGGAAGGAGCTGTGGGGAGCTGGCAGGCACAGCCCCAGTTTAAAGCTCTGTGGTGACCTACCTGACTCTTCCCTGGTGGACACAATTCCCTGCATGGTGTTCCCAAAGGTATGCTCTCCTTTCCACTATTGGTGCTGGGGATGTGTCCCTCATTGTAGCAGTATCACCATGAGGAACACGTCAGTATTATTTGTTAAAGTATCTTCCCTTTGATTTCAGCCCAGAATTTCTGTTTATCTCCTCTCATGTCACCCAAACCAAGTAGCCTCCCATGCTGGGCCTCACAGGTTTGACAGACTCACAGGCTCTTCTCAAGTCTCTGGGGTTAATGCAGCTGCCTTGCTTTGGGCTACTTCACCCAATGAGACCCTTGGGACAGGGGCATGGACGCTTTGCTATGAGTTACTGTGCAGATGGGGTGTGCTGATGGCACTGATGGCAGCCTGGGTCCCCACAGCTGCCTTTACCTCCCTCAGTGCCAGCCTCTCCTCGCAAGGCTCGGAGGCCTCCAGCAGGGACCCTGATGAGATCCACCCTTGACACATGAGCTCCTGACCAGGCCAAATGCACTCATTTTGAGACTCCAGACAGGGACAAATGAAACACAGGACTCCATTTGCCTGTGGCCTGAATGACTCCTGAAATAATACTTGTCCTTCCAGGGTGTACTTACTGTGGTATTTCCTGCCCGTATTGCTGAGGTTCGCAGCTCTTTTGTATTATTTATCTCTCCTCACTGGCGCTTACAACACCCTGAGCTTTGGGATGAGCTGCGTTCACAGTGTGCTATTAATACTCCATTGCAGATCATTACTATAGATGTTAATTAATACTCTAAGTATTAGCCCTGTGGCAACCTGCTGGAAACTCCATACAACTCAGCAGGCCGTAGCTCACTGGTGCTTGCTGCTCAGCCTGCCGGCATCCCACTTCCCCCCATCTACACCAGTCTCAAGTAACTTCTGAGCTGAGGCAACAGCTGAGCTGTAGGTGAGCCCACCATCCAGTGGCTAGGAAATGTGATCAAAAGAAATAATCCCGTCAAAGGAAATAATAATTTTTACATGTTATAGACTTGAAAATAATAAATAAAATGTTATATCACATATATAAACCATTATTATTATGTATAATAACAAAGCAGCTGCACTAGAGCCAAGCACAGGGGCCAGCATTTGGGTTCTCCATTTCTACACCCTGAGTTTCTCCAGCTCTTGTGGCCCCGATCCAGGCTGGCAGCTCCTGTGCAGGCGATCCTCCGCCAAGACCCGCGAGTCCTTCTCAGAGAGGCTGCTTCCAAAGTCCTCGTTCCCCCTTTGCAGCCATCCTTCTTTGCTTTCAGATAAATGAGTTTACTGTTGCTCATACTAAAACAGATATTGTTTGCCTGCTCTTGTGTTATACACAGCAGTCTGGATTGCTGAGTAAATGACTCCTTGCTGTTTATCACCTGTGACGCCAGGAAGGGTGGCTGTGGGGTAACAGCTGCGGCTCCTGGCAGGCAGAGTGCTGGTCCGTGCCAGTTGGAGGGACCTTCTTCCCCAGAGCAGGAAACTGGCAGCACAAGCACTCGCTTTCCTCCCTCACCACCCACTTACCCTCAGCAGGCTGGCAAATACCATTTGCTGGGTTCCCTAGCTCCATCGCGGGCGCACAGGTTTCTCAAGACATCTTTACAAAAATCTGGAAGCAGAGGGTGAGTAGTGAGATGACACAGTCTGAAGATGATATGAAATCATTCAAGTGACTGAAATGAAGCTAAACACAACTACAGCTGATTGCAAAGAGAGGAGGGTGATCGCATAATACCAAGCGAGTGAATCTTTAAATGGCAAATGAAATTCAGTGTTTGTAGCTGCAAGATAATACGCAGGGGGGAAAATAACCTGAGCTCTACACATAAAATCATGGACTCTTAGAGAGCTGCTACCACCAGGAAAGGGGTTGTGGACTCACTGCAGAAGATTCCCTGGAAACCACTCAGCGTTGGTCTATGAAGTGAATCTAGTAATGAGAATTATTGAGAAACTTTGCCCTCTTAATCCACCCTCAGCCATGTCTTGAATACTGCAGGCTGTACTAGTTCCTTCCCTCTTCTTCATTTGCCTTCCATCCTTACTTAAAGATCATGTCAATGTATTGGGAGAGGTATGAAAGCTGGAACTATCAGTGTAGTCACCAGAAATCTGGAGAAGAAAGAGGGCGAATGGCAAAGTGACAAAATTTGTTGATAGTATTATTCAAGGCTAAAGGACAAGAACTCACTGTGAAGAGATTAGAAGGATCTTACAATTCAGAATGACTGGACAATAAAATGTCATTAAAATCAATGTAGATATCTGCAAAGGGATGTAATGGGAATACACAAATCTAATTTCAAACACATGTTGGGCTCTGAGTTGACTGTTACCACACAGAGAAAAGATCTCAAGGTTATCACAGAGAAACGTCTGGAAATGTCACGCCCGTGTTCAGCAGAGATCAGAAAAGCAAGGAGAATGGTTGTGGGAGGAATACAGACCAAAACAGAAAACAGCATGAGGTCACCATAAAACCCATGTGCCACGTGTGCTGGGTGCAGTTCTGGTCTTCTGTCTGGAAAAGCAGAAAGAAGAACTAGAAGAGAGCGGAGCAGAGCACCAAGGAGCACAAGTGTTCACGGATACAGCAACAACTGAAAGGCTTAGGACGCCTAACCTGGACTGACACAGCTGTGCTGGAGGTTTATAAAATCCTGAGTAGTCTTGAAAAGACGAATTGGGATTTACTGCCTGTTGCCTCTTGCAATAAAAGAAGCTGGGGCCATGAGAAAAGTAACCAGATGGAAGTTCAACACCAAGTGAAGGAGATACTCCTTTAGAGGAGAAGCAAACGAGCTGAGGAACATGCTTCCAGAGGATGCTGAGCACCCTGAAAGATGACAGGATTCAAGAAGTGACTGAGCAGATTAATCAAATAAAATTCTATCACAAACTGAAAACAAACTTACCTTTTCTGGCTTAGAAAAACCCTGGGTTGTGACTGATGGCAGCAGGGAAAAGAGGCCAGGAAGGCACCTGCTGTTGTTCTCTGATTTTAGCACAATCCTCCATAACCTTCTTGGGGTCTGTGCGGGCAACAACTCATGGAACAGCCGTGCAAGGGAAGATTAGGATTATGTACTCCGTTAAAGACAGCGCTGAGGAGATACAGTAGAAGCCTGTAAAATCAGAAATGACATAAGGAAAGTAATCAAAGATAAACTATACACTATTTCATACTGCACAGGAACTGGCAAGCTCCCAGCTAAAATGGGTCACAGGTGTAAAACCAACAACAGGAAATACTTTTCTGCACAATATATATAATATACATAAATATACTTTAAAAATTGTGCCACAAAATACTGCAGAGCATAAACGGGCTTAGAATGGGATTAGACAAATTCATGAAGGATAGGCACATTTGTGGCTATGAAGCACAATCTTGTGGCTGCAAATTTTCTTTTAGAAGCTGAGAAGTGCCATTGTGTTGCAGCTCCAGCTAATGCCTCCCTGGCCCGAGTGACTGAACACACGTTCTTAGATTTCTATAAGCTGTATAACATTCTACATACATATTATAAAAAGTATTAAGTGTAAGCTTATGGTTTCTAGTATATTCTTAGCCTTTGATAGAGAATGCAAATGCTATTTTAGGGCATACTGTGAAGAAGGCACTTTGCCAACACAAGCCTTTGGTGCAGGCTGTCTTCTTTCCTCTATCAGGGCTTTCTGCGTTCCAGTATTTCCACAATTTTTGTGTCATCTAGAGACGTAACGATTAACAATTTATACTTTCTTCTTCATCACTGTTAAAACTTTTCAACTGTGCGTGGCCAGGAACTGATCCCTTAGGCTCTCTAGTCACATCTCGTGTGAGTAATCCTCATTTACCATTACACTGCCAAACCTCTGTCAAAACTGTCGAGGAACCACCATCCAATTCGCTTAATCTTTAGCATGTTTATATGTATGTTTCTAATTTGTTAAGGAGAATGTTTGGCATTAGTCAATTAGAAGCCTTGCTCTAGGTGGTATTAATAAACTATTGCTTTTTTAATTGAACTTGTTGGCTATTCAAAAATTATATCAAATTAGCTTGGAATTTTCCATAAACTCAGACAGGATGAGTTCTATTTTCCAGTTTTAATTCTTTACTAAAATGCTTCTTTATTGACTTGATTCTTTTGCTGTGGCTAGTTGTCAGGGTATGGACAACTACCATTGTGTATCTTCTTAAATACTCAAACAGTGTCAGTTTTGTAACAGATCCCTGAACTTTGCTTAGTTCCCAAACTTCTTGAAAATCAACAGCAATCATCTGGATAATTTCCTGGCTGGCTCCTACAAAATTCTCGGATGCAAACTATCTAAGCTACAGATTTTAAAATGGTGCTATGCAATGCCTTCCATGATCAACGAGAGTTAATTATGTCTCACCATCATTTAACACGACAATGTCATCTATCTTTTTCTCTGAAGACGGAGGATGATGATTTATAAAAAATTATGCTTTCACAATTTCCTCATTTCTAGTAATAGAGCAATATTACCGCTAGGATTGTTTTCATTCCAAATACACTTACAAAAAAAAGGTTTTAAAAATTAATTATGTTAGGCATGGCTTTCTAGTCTCATCCTGACTGATTCTCCTTTTAAAAAATGATGAAGATTAGTCAGGATTTTGGGTTCTTCTGTACTGATTCTTAAATTTGTTTGGCTTGCGGTTATCTTCCAGCATTGAAAAATACTGCTCAACCCAAGCTGAAATGATAATTTGAAATAAATATGAAATTGAGAAAAATATGCAAATGAGTCAGTGCTGGTGAGAGCTTTCTCCCACTTCAGACCGTGGGTCTGATTTCCAATTCCTCTCTGAAATTCTCCCTATCATATTAAAAAAATGTGTATCTAGTTTAGTAAATTCATCAGTCAGTTCTGGAAATGGATTCGGGGAAGGGCGAATTTAGACATAGACAGGCACCCAAGTGTTGTCCCTATGGGAGATAAACAGCAGGGTCAAGGCAGATGGGCATGGCTGTGAAAGGGATCAGAAATGGAGCCAAGCAGGAGGCTGGACACCTCAAAGGCTGTGCTCTAAACTAGAAACACGAGGAAGTCTGCAGCAGTCAGAAAGGCAAATGCAGAGCTGGGAGATGCTGGAGGACGTGGAGATGGGCCACGGCTCCCTGAGGAAGTGGGAGCCCAGCAGCCACGGTACCCAGTGTCCTCAACATGTGGAGCCATCCATCATGCCATGGCTGGAATGCGTCTTACATCTCATTCGCCCTCTTTCAGTTGCTCGCAATTTCCTTACACAAATTCTTCTGGATCTCAAATCTTAGCCCAGATGACATTTTTAAGCCTCTCAGCAGATCTATCCTGCCATTTTGCATTTTGCCTTGGCATAAAAACCCCACAGACATGTCATGCAGCTTTCCGTCATAAAATTTTGCAGAGGCATAACAAATTGTGTTAGAAGGAAATAGCTCAGTCAGTTCAAATTAAGGCGTTCTGTATTTTTAATACTGATGGCCTAAAGATTTTAAATTTTCAGGTAACTTGAGTATTCAAGAAATGGAGTTTATTAGCCTCTATATAATATTGATGATAGATTTGGTTTTCCTCTCAGTCAAGTTAGTACATTAAATAATATTGATGCTTATCATTCTGAAGATAGTCTTAGAAATTTTGTCTATGAAATTAGTAGAAATTTTGCTATTGACTTCGATGGGCTCAAGGTTTTACCCATAGCAATTAGCAGTCATTCTACTGTATAACATGGCTCCCTGAAGGTCTGCAGAGCTCGGCGTAATTGTAACAGATTGTGTAATCAGGCTGGCAGGACATGCAACCAGAAAGGAGAGCCATGGCTCCCCCACTTTTTTTCTTTTTTTTTTTTTTTTTAATTTTAAAATAAGATATTTCACTACAGGAAGAGTAAATGTAAATGATTGCATTTTAGTTACAAATGTCTAAAATGTAAGCTAATGATTAGGATGAGTTACAGAAGAGGAGTCAACAAAACATCATGTTTGAAAATATTTACAAGTAATATTTCCTCTCTAATGAGGGAGAAGTGATGTTCAGCTGAGGCTGCCAGGCCATTCTTTAGTATAAGTGAAGTATTCTCTCTAAAGACAGAAAAAAGAGAGAGGGAGGGTGGGGAGAGACAGAGTGAGCCCTGTGAGTACAAGATGAAGCCAGCCTGAAGTCAGAATTTACTTTAGCTTTGCGAGCACTATTCAGAAAGCCATTGCCAAGGTCGCCAAGCCCCAGATCCACTTCGCTTCCCCTTAAGATTGTTTGCAAAGTTGCTAGAATTCTTAACACTTGTTTTTCTTTCTCTCAAACGCTTCAGTGCCCCGGGTTTAAAGTGAACGTGCACCCAGCCCCGGCTTGCCTCCGGCTCCCACAGCCGCCAGCTGCCCCTGGGCAGTCCGCTGAAATTGGGCAGCATCCCCCAAAACCAGCAAACCCAGTGCATGCACACTGGTGGGCATGCAAGAAGAGGCCTGGGGAAGGAGAGGCAGCAGATGGGACATTTAATTCAGGGAACTAACTAATTTAAATCTTTCAGGGAGTTTGTTATTATTGCCAGAGTGTTAAGAATGTGTTTTCTTTCCCCACGCGCATAAAACGCAATGTCCCTGCTCTGAAAATCTCCGAGAATAAAACATTTTGCAACGATCTAGAATGAAGAGAAAAAGAAGTCCAGAGTGCTTTGATGATGTATTTTAAGAATACTATTATTTATATATTTCGCAGATTTATATAAATAATCATAAATGTGCAGTTGGTGTAGGTCTCTTGGGTAAAGGCAAAAGCAGGCAGATTTATAAAATGGGTTTATGTGCCAGGGTGATTGTAATGGCTCCTTCTGTCAGGTAAACACATAATTAGGATGTTTTCAAATAAATGTATTATGCACATGATTGAAGCCAATCCCGGCTGCAGTATAAATATTATGCTTTTTTTTAAGTTGTATAATTACATATCTACCCATGGAGCTCCTCGCCTGATAGGCATCTATTTATGCAACACCACACTGTGGCGTTTCCACAGGTGCTGTAGCAGATACTTGCTGAACACGCAGACTGGCTGATTTTTAAACTGCAATATCTCAGCTTTCTCTCAAAATACCAGTTCTGCCTCAACCCCTTTTTGCCTAATTGCTTCTTAGATTTATTGTTTAATTAAAACCGTTCCTGGGTTATACAAACAACAAATCCCACTAATGCGTGTTTTTCCTACATACAAATTATTTTCAGAGGGGTGATGTATCTTCACGTTCTGAAAGGATTACTTCCTTCCTGGCTGGGCTGTCGCAGCCCAGTGCAGCCTCGTGGTGAAGGCTGTAAGGTGAAGGTTTTGATGGCAGCACGACAGAGCTTCATCTATAGAGTCAGAATGGCAGTGCTAAATGCCATTGGAAAGACTGATGCACTCTTCCAGCCGACGCCAAGCAAACTCTCAGAGCGTTTTCGTACAGTCTCACGGAATGCCTGGCCATGCTCCAGGGGAAGCGCTAACAAGATGTGAGGGACATGCTGAACGAGGGGGCACCCCGAGGGGACGTTGAGGGACCTCTAGCCCCTCTTGGTGGCAAGCCTTTCCTCAAGGGGACATGCAGGGAGGACGGCGA